CTGTCACGAAGCTACGGCAAAAGCCACAACTTATCTTGCAAAAGTTCCATCAGATGACCGGTGAATGTTGTGTATGCTTTAAGTTTAAGAAAGTCAGCCATTCTCACACACATTACCTGGAAATGTGACATAAAAAGTAAAAGACCTATGTGGAAAGATAATTGCAGGTGAGTTAATCACAATGTGTGGTAGTCTTGTTGTGGTAAAAGTAAAAATTTCTTATAGTAAGAAACATTGTCAAGACTGTTGATTATCTTGTGTATGTTTGTATTTCAGAATTTAAAAAAAAAACAAGCTTTGCAGTGAAGGGGGTATAATGTATCTTTTTTCTTTTACATATGAATGTCAAAGGGCTGATAAGATCAGAGCTGGAGTGCCCTTATAGAGTGTTTGTGTTTTCTTTGAAATTGTTTCCCATCTCATTGAATTTTCAACACTAACTAAGTGCTCCTGTATTCAATTGAGTGCAGTTGTCATTTTTTCTCAGCTCTTGAAAACTGAGAATGCCACTCAAGTTCATTAGAGTACCCGATGTCATGGCTTTGATTGTACCCTGTTTGAAACAGTACAGGCTGTAATTATTCATTGTCGTTTCAATAGACACCAATGGCTGGAATATTTTGAAATTGAATTGAAACACTAAGAAATGTTCATCTTTAAACGTCCTGCTGTCTGTCTAACTGTGAATATAATTGTTTGGCATTGAGTAGTATTATGTAATGTCAAAACTTTTTATTTTGGTGTTCTCAAATTACTGTTAAAATCATTATTTAATTTCCCCTAATTTTCACTGAAGATGTATGATCAAGTTCCACTTTTCTTTATTCCGCTGTAAGAGAATATTCCTCCTCAACATGATTGAATGTTAGTCAATGTAGTTAAATCTTAACCAAAAAAACAACCTAGAAACAACTAGAACATATCACTCTAATAATGTCCACCCTGTAGTTGACAAGCCAATCACAGCAATGTTCTTAAGTCAACAAGACTGCAAGCTTCAGTCCATGTGTGATGTGTAGCGCGTTGAAGACAAATGTGTATGTGCTTTGAATTCTTCCCAATTACTTTCTTTATGATTTTTTTTTCCTTCTTCCATACTGTTTGCCTTCAGATGAAGCAACAGGCAAACTGGTGCAAATGGCGAATCTCTATGGAACTGTACACGTTAAATAATGTTTTAGATTTCAATAAATAATTCTGTCATACCCTGATATCAGTCTTCCATCGTTTTTTAAAATGCGTTTTACATCTGCGTTGGGTTTTTTTTATTTACATGGATGTTGTATATCACAAGCCTAGTACTAGATCTATCTTGTACAGGCTCAATTTTACATTATTAATGAAAATCTCTTTGAAACTTCTTAATTCCAGTCATGAAAACAGGAATTAAATACAGTATGAAATTGAAAATCTACAGAACATAGGCATTAACTGCTGTGACAAAAACTACAGAAAGTCGAAAATTTGAATTAGTAGAAGTTAAGCGCTCAGCTCGCAATTCATCTGTTACATGTTACTGTTAGAGGTGCCAACTGGCTACAAAAACAAAAAAATCTGGAACTTTCTCATGCGCACAGGGACTCAAAGTCAGGGGACCATTTGATTTAATGCATCTTGTATCATTTTTATATAAAAGCGTAAAGGCCAACATGACAAACACAAAGAGATTAAAATGTTCAGCCAAGCACGGACAGCTCAAAAGCGTCGGGGATTAACAATTGTGCCCGATACACTCATAATTTGGGTAAACATAATATCTAAATCTTATCACCTGGAGAATGGCAAATTGTATGAGCGATCCGCGATTTTGAGTTTAGAGTCAAAAGTTAGTAGCATGGTGCATCAGGACTTGCACTGGATTGTCCAGCTTTAGATCCCAATCGAACTCATGAAAAGAAACCTTTGACACTCTGAGAGAGAGAGACACAGTTTCGTCAACGCTTGCTGTCATTTCATCAAGTGGACGGGAGGTAATCAAAGCAAACTGGAACATTTACAACGATCTCTACATTACGTGGATGGTGTCCCTTGAGCGCAAGATTTGCGAGTATTTCGTCAGTTTTTAATTCTCTCAACAACCCTCAATCTGGCAACGTCCTAC